CAGGCTCACTCCCCACACCAGCCAGGAGGACACAATCCACCAGGTGGGAAGCACAATGAGCAACCCAAGGAAGGCAAACAGCATAGAGATATCCCTAGAACCAAGAAAATGGTATCCATCAGGTGGGAGAGTTACTTCAATCCTAAAAGCAATCATAAATTGAAATCTATAGAGAAGATTAAATGCTAGGTCCACCGTGAAGCATGATCTTAAAAAAACAAAAAATGACTTCTCTTGCTAAGTTCCCAGGCTAGGCTTAAATCTGTGATCCTCTTGCCTCAACCTCTTGTGTGCTACCATGCCACAAATTCTTATATTCTTTAAGGACTAAAGGCTGAAAATTTTCCTTGTGAGGTTTGGATCACTATAGAACTGGAAGTTGAAGAGCTCAGCTAGCTGTCTGCTACCACGAGAGGGACCAGAAGGACCGTTATTGAGCAGGGAATGTGACGGGCGGGGGCAGTTAGTGCTTCTGTGCTGGAGCAGCCACGGTAACTCAGGAGCTCCTAGACTCACTCTCCTCTCTCTCCCCTCTCTGACAGGAGGAGCAAATTCTTAACAGGAACAAAGAACCAACAGCTCTTCCTATAAGATCTCTTCATGATCCATTCTTTCTTTTTTGTAAGCAAATTATGGCCCAGGACATCTGCATTAGACCCAAGTCAAGTGGTTAAATGTTTCAGCACAGTCTTTGTTTTGTTTGTTGGTTTTCTTTGAGATAGGGTCTCACAATGTTGCCCAAGCTGGCCCCTAATTTCTGGGCTCCTCTGAACTTCCTGTCTCAGCCTCCCAAATAAATTTTAGGATAACTTAAGCCATTAGATTATGTTCCCAATCATCTCTTCTCAGTCAAAATAGAAACAGTTTATCTCCATGTCCCACCCCATCCTTAGAGTCTCTATGGTGTGACTGATATAATCTGTTGTTTATAAAGAAACATCAACAACAGGTTGCACAGATGTACAGATAATATTCTTTTTGACACATTCATATGTTTTTGTTGGGTTGCTAAGCACAGAACCAATTTTATTGAATTGGATATATATATATATATATATACACATATATATATATAATCAAAATGGCTATTTTTTCTCCTTGCTTTACTGTACAGTATTTACTTTAAATAAGCAGTTTTTTGCCACTGACATAGCCTGACATTCATCATGATGCTAACACTAAGTGTATGAATGTTTATAATGCCCGTACAATGGGGAGCACCGGCACGGATTTCCTCCTTGAATACCCTGTATGTAAGTGGCTGAAGAGTAGATGCTTCTGTACAATACCAAATATTAGGGGTTGCCAGGGAGCAGAGCGTTGGAAGGTGTTCATGTTCCTGCGGGTGAGCTTGCCCTGCAGACAGGATACTGGGATCAAGTAGCTCGATTAGCTCCACATCCTCTTGTAAAAGAACTTCCTGTTGCAGGATGGTATGCAGTGAGTCCAGTCTAAATCCAGTATCCTTGCCATTAAAATACAGGAAGAGAGGTATTAATCCATACATAAACTTTTATTAAATGCTATGCTTCAATTTTCTAATATATAAGGTAGTTAAGAGGGATATGGTTTTAGTCCAGACTCTAAGAAGAAATACCCGTACAATCTTTAATATGATAGATGGGGCTTTATTTTCATTGTAAGTGTGAAACAATAAAGATTGTGCTGGACATTATTAAGTTACCAGATGTGAAATACAAAGTTTTAATAAGGAGATATAAAGTAAGTACAGGTTAATAAGCCTGCCTAATATACCTACTTAATTACATTGATGGTTATGTAGTGCAGGAAATGTAATCCACATGGAAAATACAGTGAAAAGCAGGCTGGCCCTGTATCAATATAGCTCAAGTCAAGAATTACTATTTTTTTCTGTTTTTTTTTTTTTTTTAAGACAGGGTCTTGTTGTGTAGCTCTGCCTGGCCCTAAACTCATGGTGATACCCTATACTTTCCCAAGTGTTGAGATCGCAGGTGACCATGACACCCAGCAGGATCAAAGCCTTCTACAGATGGGCACTGAGATATTTAAAAATACATCATGAAGGTGTATAATGGAAAACCACATTAACATTTCCATGCTACTTTATAATTTATAAAATGTCTTGACATAGTCAAGATCACGTATTCTTCCTTTTCTTCTTTACCTATTAAGTAATACCCTCTGTTAGCCAGGCACCAGGCTAGACAATGAAGACAAAAATGAACAAGACATACAATCTCTTCCCACGAACTGTGTGTGAGCACGGTTGTGTGCACATGTCTGGGGATCAAACCCAGGACCCCGTGTATCTCAGGCAAACACTACACAGAGGCACATCTGCAGCCTCAAAGTTTCTAGTCATAAATACTTTGCAGATTAATGGGAAGAACAGAAAAGTCAATGGTTCCAACACAATGTGTAAAGGAGGGTGATGATTATACTAAGGGTGCTATGTAAAGAGCACAGAATGACCACAGTTAAAAGTCACAGAAAATCAAAGATGTGAACTGGAGCTTGTCTTAAAAAGATGAATCAGAATTGGCAAGGGGAAAGAGCTGCAAGAACAGGATAGACAGGAAAGAAGCTGCTCTCATCTGGAGGAGTGGAACAATCTGGTAGTGGCACAGCCACCTTAAACAAGTGTGACGAGGCAGCAGTGCTGGGACAAGTGGGTTAATCTCGCCATAGCCTTGTGATGTGCAGTCCCATCCTCTGTTTACAGGAGAATTGAACCTAAGCTAGTTTTAGATTCCTGATTTCAAATCCTAAGCCTCTGGTAGTTTTAAAAATTTATATTTTAGGGGACTGGGGATGTAGCTCAGTGGCACAATGCTTGCCTGGCAAGCCTGAGGTTGCTTGTTCAATTCCTGGAACAACAACAACAACAAAAATTTTACATTAAAAATATTAGTTGGGGGAATGGGGAGATAGCTCAGTAGAATAAGCGCTTGCCTGGCAAGTACAAAAAAAAAAAATTAGTGGGTATATATTAAAGAATATTATCTAGTGCTTTAACATATGTCAACCTTACGTACTATTTAATTGTCAGACATATCTCATTTATCATTTAGTAGTGGTAAAATTTTTTTTTCTTCATTTATGTATTTGGTACAAGGTCTCACTACGTAACTCAGACTTATAGTGATTCTCCTGTTTTCAGCCTCCGCAGGGCTGGGATTACAAGCGTGTGCCACCACACTGGACTCGGTAGCTGGTGGGGTGGTGCTGGTGTGACATGCAGGACTGCGGGACTGAAGCCTGGTCTCTGCGCTTGCCAAAGCAGGTGCTTCGTCCACTGAGCTATCTTGCCAGCCTAGTAATGGTGAAATTTTCAAATTCCCTTCCTCTAGTTTTTTGAAATGTATAGTATATTACTGTTATCTATGGTTACCCTAATGTTTAGCAGCATACCACAACTTCTCTCTACCTATGATTTAGCACTTACTGACCTACCTTCCTATATTTGAGTAAAGAATGTCCCAAACCAACAATTTACAATAATCCATCCATACAAATAAGTTAGACAGGGACCAAGACACTTTAAATAACTAAATCGGTTTTATCTTTTTTTTTTTTTGTGGTACTAGATATTGAACTCAGGACCCTGCGCTTGCCAGGCAAGTGCTTATTCTACTGAGCTATCTTCCCGACCCTATCTTATTGAATAGGTGGCCTCTATAAAGGAAAACCTTTAGAGGGCTGGCCAAAATAGCTCAGCGGATTAAAATGCCTGCAAGCAGGTATAGGGGCCAGGGGTTCAATCCCTGCCCCCAGGTTGCGCTGAGACAGCAACTGAGATGGGGCGAGGTGTTGCATACCTGTAATTCAAGCTCTTGGGAGGCTGTAAACAGGCGGATCACCATGAGTCTGATCTAGGAGCAAGACCCTGAATACCCTGTAGACCCTTCCATAAAATATACACATACAAAAAAAGAAAGAAAACCTTTAACTGAAAAATGACAAAGACTTGAATACTCACCAATTTATGAAGTAAGTCATCCTTCTTACTGCACTGAGAAAAACAAATCCAACTTTTGATGGTTTCAGCCACTTTTAACAAGATGCCCTGCTGAAGGGAGACAAATGACATTGTATAGAATTATTAATTAAACATACCCAAGAAGCAGAGAAATTTTACTTCTCATTAGCCAGAACTTTTATCAGAAAAAGGGAGAAAAGCATTACCCTGGCTATACAACTTGCCAGCATGTGTCAGCCCCTCATTAGTTCCCAACTTTAGTTAAACAACAGAATAACTCTGGGACTTTAGATAGAAACATACTTCTGGGTCCCCAAAGTAGAGTCTGATTCAATAGGTTTGGAATGAAGTCTGGAAACAGGGCTTTAAAAAGTTGTGAGAAGTCATCGGCTACAGCCCGTTCATCTGGGGAACATTATTTGCTATCTATATTAACACAGTGACGGTATTTGTTTCAGAACGGTATTTTGGGAATAGAGAAAGACTATGTGGCTTGTTTGTTTAGGGGAGTGGCTGAGAAAAGAAGTCCTGTTGTGACCCTTCCGCATCTGAGCTTCCGGGGCACCTGCAGTGAAAATGTCTAATAAGCACAGAACTCAGCAAGGCCTGGAGTAAACGGCCAAGAAAGATGAGATCGACCACAGTGGAAAGACCTTGGAGAGAAGAGGCCTCTCTTCCACAAAAATGGTATGAAAAGAACATTTACGCATCATCCCACAAGTGGCATATATAATCCAGCACTCAAAGAGGCTTGGAAAGTAGGATTGTCAAGAGTTCGAAGCCAGTCAAAACTAAGTAGAGAGACACTGTCTCAGGAAAAACCAAACCAAACCAAAACAAAAACACATCAACAACAAAAACCAAACCAAACCAAATTAAATGAACAAAAGAACCATCATAGGAAAAGAGACCAGAAACAAAGAGAATTAAAAAAAAAAAAAAATAGAATGCATATTTACAGCAGGATTGTCCGGGAAGACTTAATAAGTACATAATAATCACAAGAAAAATCTTTCTTAGTAAGTATAATGCTAATGACTACTTCATCAAGATCACATACCAAAAAATTGCTTTCCAAAGAAAATAATTGAAAATAATTCATATTTCAATCCTTGAACATTTCATGGGCAATTCTAAAAACATTCCCTGAGAATGACTGAATAACTCAACAAATCTTTCTAAAATTTAACTGTCCTTGGATTCAGAAAAAAAAAAAAAAAGCCATTGTAGAGACACAGAGATCATACAACTAGAAAGTTGCCTTTAGAGGAGTGTAATATGAAGAATAAAATAATTTTTGATATAACTTTTTTTTTTGCAGAACCGGGGATTGAACTTAGCCCCTTGTGCTTGCCAGGGAAGTGCTTATTCCACTAAGCCATCTCCCTCGCTCCAACTTTTGTTTTAAAAAATGTACTTGGCGGCTGGGCGCGGTGGCACGTGCCTGTAATTCCAGCGTTTGGGAAGCTGAAACAGGAGAATCACTACAAGTCCAATCTATGTAGTGAGACCCTGCAGACCCTGTACATATCACTGATATGTTGTCTTGAATTATTCAGGAAGATACCAAGAAGGAAAATAGCTAACACTTCTAGTTCTTTTTTTTTTTGGAATACAAAATAGTGATAGAAAAAAAAACAGCATTGAAAAACATATAGACTTAACCAAGCAAAGTAATAGGAATTCAACAATGGTTGCTGTATCACATGATGTTATCTTCAAATTAGTTTTTCAGATTACCAGATATAAATATGTAAGATTTTTTTAAAGATAAAATAAAACAATAAGAAAAAAAATGTACTTGGTACAGGACCTCACTATGCAGCTTGGACTCCTAGTGATCCTGCTGTTTTCAGCCTCCCCAGCACTGGGATTACAGCCAACGCGCCACCACGCCCGGTTTTGGTGGCCAGTATGGCACAGGGCCGGCATGGCATGTGGTACCAGGGATTGAACCTGGGTCTGTCCACTCGTCAGGCAGGCGCTTCAACTGCTGAGCTATCTTAATGGGTCAAGTCCCTGGTCCAAAAGCATGAGAGAGGATTCCTTTAATTTCTGTGGCAATTTCTTTAAGAAATTGAACTATAATAATTTTAATTGTCTTTGTCTTCTGTACAATTAATGATTTCTAAAAGCATTTTCTCATTTTCAGAAGAAATAATTTCTTCTATTACATGAGACATGGAGGTCAGGCTTGAAGCCCCAATGCCTTCCACTGTTGTTTTTCCTACAAAATTCAAGTACAGAATGACGTTTTATCCAAAATATTCCACTATTTCTTTTCCACCAAGGGAAGTATAAGCATTCTGGGACTCTTCTATGGTTCTGCACTTACAAATGAGGAGGGCTTGGTAGGTGGCATTAAGAGAGCTTCCACAAGTCCACACTTCTCTAAACCGCACTGTTCAGGAGTCCAGGTTCCAGCTCACATCTTAGCTCTAATATATACTGATGGAGCTGGTAGCTTCATGATCCTGGTTGAGTTAAGTATGTATCTCTGAGCTTTGGCTTCTGGATGTGGCCATATTGATGACTGCAAACTAGATTTCTATGTCTATTTTCTGTCTGAAGCCATTCTTTGTCTTATGTTGCCAACTAATCTCAAATCTGTTAGTCTATAAATAGCATATTAGGCATGCCTTAGATTTTTTTTTTATTTTTATTTTTTTTACAAACATTGTGTTATTTTATTACCTGACATTTTTATGTACAGTTTCAAAGAACAAGGAGTCTTTATCTTTGTTGATCTAGTCTAGATTCTCTAAGACCCCTCAGTCTACAGCCTAGGCCAAATCCAGTTTGCTCCTCTCTTGTGTAACATTATTCTTTTTTAGATTTTGTTTTCAAACTCTTTCCCAAGAATATATATATATATATATATATATATATAATTTATTTATTCATTCCTTGGTTTTTTTGAGACAGGGCCTCCCCATGCACTTTAGGCTGAGTTTCAACTCACTATACCTCGAATTCTTGGCAATTTTCTTGCCTCAGCCTCCTGAGTGCTGGGATTACAAGTCGTGCCACCATGCCCAGATCAAAACATCTGTTCTTGAAAGGGAGAAGGAGAAGGAAAAGTATAGAGGATTAGCAACACTGGTTCTAACCCTGACCACGGTGCTGCATACTTGTGAGGCAAAGGCAGGAAGACTGCAAATTTAAAGCTAGTATTGGTAACTTAAGAGAGATCCTGTCTCAAAATGTTCTAAAAAAGAGAATAGACCCTTAGGGCTGGGGCACAGTGCTTGCCTAGCATTGCCTGGATGTGAGTGCTAAGGCTATCAACTCTGGTCTTCCAGGTATCAGTGATGAAAAGAATGGGCAATCTTTCTTACTTTTGAGAGGACTCCTGGAGGAGGCTTTTGTTGTCCCTCTGTCGTGCATTTTTCTGTTTTTGGAGACAAAGAAGAACATATTTCAAAGTCTGTGTGTCCCAAGTCCTGTAAGTACTGATAAAGCGGAGAATTCTGAAAAAGACATATAAAATAAAGTAAAATTCAAGATCATTTCTGTCTTCAGAGTTTTAGAACCAAAGTTCACTATCGTGACTTGCATGTCCAAATACTGTAAAGTTTCTTTTTATGAGAATTCAACAATCAATTACAACATGATGCCATTTCGTATCAATAAATCCATATTCAACGGAGACCCAAAATGCTAAATAAAACACAGAATTTTTGAGTGTCAGCAAACAAAAATGAATTTAGGAATAAAAATAGATTTGGTAGGGGTGGGGAGATAGCTCAATAGAATAAGTGCTTGCCTGGCAAGCACAAGGGCCTGAGTTCAATCCCCAGTTCTGCAAAAAAAAAAAAAAAAAAGATTTTAAAAATAGATTTGGTAAGCAATTTCTTGGCCCACATTTTTAATTTTTATTTTTTTGGTATAGGGACTCACTATGCAGTTGAGACTTGTAGTAATTCTCCTGTTTTGAGCCTCCCCAGCAACTGGGATTACAGGTGTGGGTCACTATGCCCAGACTCCGCTAATAGCTCATTGCGCTCTGGGGGCGAGGCCGACATAGCATGTGGTACCGGGGATCGAACCCCAGTCTCTGCGCGTGCCTAAGCAGGCTCTTAGTCCACTGAGCTATCTTGCCAGCCCCTTAGCCCACATTTTCATAGAGGCTTCAGAACAGCCAGTACTGGTTATAGATATTTCCTAAAAAAGATCTGTAAGGGCCGGACTGATAGCTCAGCGGACTAATGTGCCTGCTTAGGCAGAGCTCAGAGGCTGGGGTTCGATCTGTGCCGGTCCCGTCCCCGGGGCAGGCTGAGACAGCAGTGGCACGTGTCTGTAATCCCAGCACTTGGTAGGCTGAAAACAGGAGGATCACTATGAGTATGATTTACATAGTGAGACCCTGTAGACCCTTGGTAGGGCTGGGGAGAAAGATAATATTTATTCTGTATTTAGGACCCTATTCTGTACTAAATACAGAATAAATAAATAAATGATAAAAAAATAAAAAGATCTGCAGTAGAAGTTATTACCTGAAGTCAAGAAAAATGAAATAATGGTCATATTGTATTTGTTACAATTACCATACCATCAAATTCATTAGTTCATTTGGTAGAAATGTGTTATATATCATATTCTATCTATCTATCTATCTATCTATCTATCTATCTATCTATCTATTTATTGTGGCCAACTCAGCCAGCCCTGGGGGTGGGGCTGGGGCTGGCACACCATGTGGTGCCTGTGGTCCCTGCGCTTGCCTAAGCTTGCCTAAACAGGCGCTTTAGTCTGCTGAGCTATCTCGCCAGCCCTATCATATTCTTGATACTGCAAACAAACTTAAAACTTTTCAAGGAAGTCACCTTAGATTAATTATCAGTCACATATGGAACATGGCCAAAGAGACAGTACAGCTAATAAAAGAAATAGAATCATGTTAAGTAAAATAAATCTGATAGACAAGTTTAAATATCTCATGGTTTGTGTTAAGTGAGAAACCCAAAGCATAAATAAACTAAGGAGCAAAGTAAAAGAAAGATAATAGGAAACAGGGAGACAGATCATTTGCAAAAGGGAAGGAAATCAAGAAATGAAAGGGAGGGGTGCAAAAAGAAATAACTGCTATGCTTGTACCAATTACCCGTGAAGAATGTAATCATTATTGTCATAGTTTGGGGTTTTGCAAGGGAAACAATACAGGACACATACTTTATGGAATTATTTTCTAATAATCAACCAAAGAAACATACAAAGAGTGCAGGAAATCTGTCCACACATTAAAGACCAAAGAATCCAGCTGAGGTCCTGGATCCTAATGTCCTTCCTGAGTACCACTGAATTCCTAGCGCCCATGACAGTGTCTCATGCGGCCCGCTTCACAGCACTGCACTGGGAGGGCCCAAAGGTAGTAGTGAAAGAGCTAGAAAGTCTGTGCCACCCCATGACTGCCTGCGGCTTTGGAGGGACACCTATACACAAACCACAATAGCTCCCCAACAGCCTCCCAATAGCTTCTCCAGTTCTTCCTCTCATGCTGCTGGCAACAATCCTCAGGTGAGCCTCCCACACCCAGCACCAGGCTGGTTCAGTTCAGTTGGGTGTAACAAGTTGATCACCAGTTGGCAATCCAGTGCAACTGTACACTGCGAACATGTAATAATAAACAATAGAAGAACACAGTAAGTAAGAACACACATTTAATAGGCAGATTTGAAGTTCAAATCTCAACTCTACCTCTTTTTAGCTAAGTGAATCATGCCAATTTACAATCCTTATTTCATCTGTCTCACGTAAAAATAGGAATAATAATAATACTTAAACTAAATATAAAGATTTAGAGCTGTGGGGGTCCCTTGTGGGTCCCTCTCACTCTGGTACTGGAGACTGAACACAGGGCCTTTATGCTGAGCTACATATAAGCCCAAACTTTTAAATTCTGAACTCCTGAGACACATGTTATGGCTTATACCAAATGTCCCCCAAGAGCCTCAGGTGCTCTTAGGTGGGGCTCTTGGAAACCTCATTTTGTTTGTCTTTAAGGACAGGTGGCCAGAGGTTCCTTGATGAAACAGTGGATCTCCGAGGTCTGCAGAGAGACTGGCAGGACTCTCCCTTCCTTATAGTCCCTTGGCACTGGACAGTTGCCTAGTGCCATAGAAAGGAAGCAAAAGGATCACGAAAAGAGTAAAAAGTGGCACCCAAGTCCCAGAAAGTCTGCCTAGTCCCAGAAAAACAAACATGAGCATTCCGCCTCTCTATTGGCCTAACCCTAAAACTCCCCTTCATTCCTTTTAGAAGTATAACCTCCAAGGGGTGGAGGTGTTGATCTTCTAGATTATCGCCCTCTCTTCCTGTTTTTGGCCAAGAGTGAAAGTCTCTTTCTCTAATCAATCTGCACTTGGTCTAGTTATTGGTTCAGTTTTGAGATGGAAAAAGGACCCAGTTTGGGATAAGAAATTAGTAATAGACTGACCAATAAATCTAACTCCAAAGCCAACATTCTGAAATACTATACTAAACTAAAAATAAGAAACAGTTTCTCACTGTCTAGTAAAGAAGACATCAAAGAAGCTTATTTAAGAGCACCACAGAGAAAGCCAGCAAATAACTGTAACAGGAATGCACTGGATGCTACAGAAACAGGAGAGGCAGCTAAATCAGAGCCATATTTTTAAGGAGTATGTTCTTAAATGAGAAAGAGTAAGCAAGAGCAGAAATTGCAGGACTGGCCAAAATCTGCCAGGCTTCAATTTGAGAGGGAAGGAATATAGGTCAAATTATTTCCTTTTAAACTATATTTAAATTCTCTCTTAAGAAAAATGCCTTCACATCATAAAGAGGAATAGGTTTCTCATCCTCTGTCGTGATAACACACACTCCACTGCTGACCTGCCCATCCTAGCCTGGATTCTCCAGCCCATCTGTGACCCCCACCCTGCTCTGCCCAGGGGCTCAAGAACACCAGCAACACCCCAGGTGCTGCACGGATCTCCGGGACAGTTCATACTTTTTTTTTTTTTTTTAAAGTCTTTTTAATTTTTATTTTTTAAGGCAGTAGGATGCCTTCTTCATGTTCACTCCAGTGGGAAAGAATAATAAATAAGATAGATCAAAGTGGAGTTACTCTGTGTTAGGGCCAACAAATTTGCTCTGTGAAAGACTAGAGAGTAAATAGTTCAGTGAGACAGGTCATCAGGTCGCTGTCCTAATAATCTGCTGTCCTAAAGTCTGCTGCTGCGGTTTGAAGGCAGAGACTAAACAACCCCACAAGTGTACTTATGTGCCAATAAAACTTTATTTATGAAATCAGAACTGGATATAAAGTACCGTTATGCTCTATTTCCCTAGCATTTCAGAAAAGTAGAGGGCTAACAATAGAGCTCCGTGATGAAATCTTTGTTCAGTATTCAAAAGGCTAGGTCTGACCCTCAGCCCTCAAAGATAAAACAAAACATAAGGAAGTAAAAGCATTATTTTCTCACCAGTCATAAAAAATGTGAGCCTGAGGGAGGAGACTGCAGTGTGTGTGTGTGTGTGTGTGTGTGTGTGTGTGTGTGTGTGTGTAGGCATCCGGCCCCAGAGCCTCCTAATTAAAGACTTAGAGCAAGCTGGGTGTCATGGGCACAGGGGTAACCCCAGTGCTCCGGAGGCTGAGGCAGGAGGAGGCAGCCTGGAGGGTGGGGGCAGACCTCTGCCACCTTTTCTCCCTCCCATGTGGCTCTGGGGAGTGAACCCAGTGCTTCCCTGCTGAGCCACACCCCAGCCCTTTCATCCCCAGCCCTTTTTCATTTGGAGAAAGGGCCTCACTAAGTTGTTAAATTGTCCAGGCTGGGCTCAAACTTGTTATCCTTCTTTGGTAGCCTCCCAGAAGGTTGGGGTTACAGGTTCACACTAAACTCTTTTTTTAATTTTTCAGACAGAGTCTCACTATGTAGTTCAGGCTGGCCTTGAACTCACTATGTAAAATGGGCTGGCCTTGAACTTGCAGAAACCCTTCCGCCTCAGGTATGCAACATCAGAAATTATTATTTTTTTAACAACAGAAATTAAAGTGCAAAGAAATTGAACACTGAGAGCCGGCTGTGGTGGCCCATGGCTGTAATCCCAGTACTCAGGAGGCTGAGGCAGGAGGATTGTTTGAGTTTGAGACCAGTGTGGGCTAGAAAGTGAGCTCAAAGCCAGCCTGTACAATAAGGGGACCTTTGTTAAAAAGGTAAAATTATTATTTTACTTAGAAAAAGAGCAATAAATAAATACTTGTTACAATGTTTTGTTTTAATTCTTTTGGTCCCAGGACTCAAACTCAGGATCTTGCACTTTCCAGGCAGGTACTGTGCCACTGAGCTGCATTCCCAGCCCCACTCTTATGATACTAATGTAAATAACATTTTTAATTTATTGTTTTGTTTTGCTTTTTTGAGCCCTGATCTCCTTATGCAGGGCAGGCTAGGCTTGAACTTGTTTTATGTAGTCCAGGCTGGCCTCCAACTCATAGTGATCCTCCTGC